TTTCAATAGATGGTGCTGGGATAACTGGAGATCCACATGCAAAAGAAAGAAGTTGGACCCCCTATCTCACAACTTACGCAAGATGAACTCAAAATGGATGAAAGACCAGAAAAGAGCTATAAAACTCTTTGGAAAAAAAAGGATTAAATCTTCATGACCTTTGATTTGTCAATACATTTTTAGATATGACAACAAAAGCATAAGCACCCACAGACAAATTAGATAAATTGAACTTTATCAAAATTAAAAACTTCAGTCCATCAAAAGTCTATTAAAACTTTTCTCATCAGAAAGTGAAAAAAGAGCCCCCAGAATGAGAGAAAATACAAGCGTATTTCATTTTACTGTGCTTTGCTTTATTGTGCTTTGCAGATATTGCATTAAAAAAAAATAAATTGAAGGTTTGTGCTAAATTCTGTGTTAAGCAAATCTATCAGTACCGATTTTCCAATGGCACATATTCACTTCAGTAGCATTTTTTAGCAATAAATTATTATTATTATTATTATTATTATTATTATTGAGATGGGATCTCACTCTGTCACCCAGGCTGGATTGCAGTGGTATGATCTTGACTCAGTGCAACATCCACCTCCTGGGTTCAAGACATTCTCATATCTCAGCCTCCCAAGTAGCTGGGATTACAGGCATATGCCAGCATGCTCAGCTAATTTTTGTATTTTTAGTAGAGATGGGGTTTCACCATATTTCCCAGGGTGGTTTTGAACCCCTGGCCTCAAGTGATCTGCCCACCTTGGCCTCCCAAAGTGCTGGAATTATAGGCATGAGCCACTGTATGTGGCTGAGAGTTTGATTGTTACATGCTTTGGGATAGTCTTATTTGAGTTGAATCTGTTTGATGTTCTCAGATCTTCTTGTGCCCGGATATTTTTATCTTCTTCAAGTTTTGGAAAGTTTTCTGTTATTATTTCTTTGAATAAGATTTCTATCCCTCGCTCTTGTTGAGCTCTGGATTTGTTCATTTAAGGTAATTATCTGTGTCTTGTAGGTGGTCTTTTTTCATTTTTGTACTTTTTTCTTCTTCTTCTCTGACTGTCTATTTTCAAATAGCTGGTCTTTGAGCTCATTAGTTGTTTTATCCTCTGCTTAATCCATTCAGCTCTTGAAAGTCTTTAATGAGTTCTTCAGTTTAACAAATGTATTTCTCAGTTCCAAGATTTCTGTTGGATTTTTTTCGTTACTTCAATATCTTTGTTAAATTTCTCTGATAAATTTCTGAATTGCTTTTCTGTATTACTTTGGAGATCACTGAATTTCCTTAAAAGTGTTGTTGAATTCTTGGTCAGGGAGCTCACAAATTGCCATTTCATTAGGGTCAATCACTGGATTTTTGCTTTGTCCTTTCAGGGATGGTTGTAGTTCCCTGTCGGGGATGGTTGTAGTTCCCTGTTTACTGTTGTTTCTCATGGGTATACATTTATGTCTTTGCATTGAAGAATTTATTTATTCCAGTGTACTCTCTCTGGCTGGTTTTGGTTTTTATTGGATGTATTTTCTTAGCAAATTGTTACTACTTGGTCACTGCCTTTTTTCAGCTTTAAGTGGCACCTTAAGGCCAGGTTCTCCTTGGCTCTAGAAAATGACTGAAGTGTTACCTATCCCAAAGGAACTGTCTTGGTCATGTAGGTAAGCTTACTAGGGGTATGCCCAAGGGGACCTATGAAACATACTTCCTACAGTGTGGTGCTGCTGAATACCCACTCTAATTTGGCATTTCCTTTGGCCAAGTCATAGAGCAGAGTTTTCAGGGCTGGGGATGCTAGTCTTGCCTCTACTTTTTGTTGCTGCCCATCCTTAGGTATATTTCTCCCTTTGGAGAGCTACAATGCTTCTCATGGGTTAAGGGAAGGACAGGTCTCCTCCCAGAAAATCTAAAATGTTGGAAAAGCTGGTTGACCACTTCAATCTCAGTTTTTCTAGTGTAGAAACCATGCTTTGGGGGGAAGATGTTTTTATGCACTTGTTGTTGGGCAGAATGGGGTGGGCCTTGCAGATGAGGAAGAATCATCTCCTACGACCTGCTCAGATTTTTTTTTTTTCATTTCTCTGTATCCCTAGGATCTGTCTCATTCTCATATTTAAGTTCTGGATTGTTGCTGGCGAAAATCTTAGTGCTGTACATTTGTTTTAAGTTTTCTGTGGGGAGTACTGAAGCCAGTTTACTTCTACACCACTATTTTAAAACCTTCTTCCTGACTTATTCACAAATGAGGTAGCCTCTTCTTCATCCTGCATTGGACTACATGTTTTGAGATACTTTTTGTTTGTTTGTTTGTTTGTTTTTTGATAATAAAGCATTTATTAACATAATTTGTTTCATCTTTTGCTTAATCAAAGTTATAGTATACGCAAGTGTTAACTGGACCTTCTGATTAATGTGAGCCATACCATCACTATTACAATGCTAGTTGATGTAATCTTCAATCCAAAGAAAAGAGTTTTGATACTTTAATAGGCTGCTGCACTCTCATTTTGGATCATGTAAATTTAAAAACAGCCCTAGGTACACAAGGACTATCTTCACAAACTCATATGAATCTAATTTCATATAGTTGGCAATTACCCTGGTAGTAATTACAGTTGGGTTCTTTCTGGACTCCTGGACTAAGTGTTTGTTAGTTGATTTAATTTTGTATTATTGAAGGCATATCTTTGGATAAACTGTTTTTTTTTTGTTTGTTTGTTTGTTTGTTTTTCAGAGACAAAAGTCTTGCTCTGTCACCCAGGCTGGAGTACAGTGGCATGATCATAGCTCACTGCAGCCTCAAACTCCTGGGCTCAAGCTATCCTCCCACCACAGCTCCCAAGTAAGTAGGATTATAGACATGCACCACCACTATATCTGACTTTTTAATTTTTTTTACTTTTTGTAGAGATGAGGTCTCACTGTGCTGTGCAGGCTAGTGTCAAACTCCTGGCCTTAAGCTATCCTCCTGTCTGGGTTTCCCAAAATGCTGGCATTGTAAGCATAAGCCACTGTGTTTGACTAATAAACTGGTTTGAGACGGAAGGAGCGAAGATGGCTGAAGAGGAGCAGCTCCGGTCTGCAGCTCCCAGCATGATCAATGCAGAAGATGGGTGATTTCTGCATTTCCAACGGAGGTACCTGGTTCATATCATTGGGACTGTTTCGACAGTGAGTGCAGCACACGGAGGGTGAGCTGAAGTGGGGTGGGCCATCGTCTCACCTGGGAAGTGCAAGAGGTCGGGGGATTTCCCTTTCCTAGCCAAGGGAAGCCGTGACACACTACCTCGAAAAATGGGACACTCCCGCCCAAATACTGTGCTTTTCCCAAGGTCTTAGCAACCAGCAGACAAGGAGATTCTCTCCCGTGCCTGGCTCAGCCAGTCCCATGCCCATGAGCCTTGCTCACTGCTAGCGCAGCAGTCTGAGATCATACTGTGAGGTGGCAGCCTGGCTGGGGGAGGGGCGTCTGCCATTGCTGAGGCTTGAGTAGGTAAACAAAGGGGCCAGGAAGCTCAAACAGGATGGAGCCCACCACAGTTCAACAAGGCCTACTGCTTTGAGACTCCACCTCTGTGGACAGGGCATAACTGAACAAAAGGCAGCAGACAACTTCTGCAGACAAATGTCTCTGTCTGACAGTTCTGAAGAGAGCAGTGGATCTCCCAGCACAGCATTTGAGCTCTGAGAACGGACAGACTGCCTCCTCAAGTGGGTCCCTGACCCCCATGTAGTCTAACTGGGAGACACCTCCCAGTAGGAGCTGACAGACACCTCATATAGGCGGCTGCCCCTCTAGGACGAAGCTACCAGAGGAAGGACCCGGCAGCAGCCTTTGCTGTTCTGCAATATTTGCTGTTTTGCAGCCTCCACTGGTGCTACCCAGGCAAACAGAGTCTGGAGTGGACCTCCAGCAAACTCCAACAGACCTGGAGCTGAGGGACCTGAATGTTAGAAGGAAAACTAACAAACAGGAAGGAATAGCATCAAAATCAACAAAAAGGTCATCTACACCAAAATCCCATCTGTAGGTCACCAACATCAAAGACCAAAGGTAGATAAAACCACAAAGATGGGGAGAAAAGCTGAAAAATTCTAAAAATCAGAGTGCCTCTTCTCCTCCAGAGGATCACAGCTCCTCACCAGCAATGAAACAAAGCTGGATGGAGAATGACTTTGATGAGTTGACAGAAGTAGGCTTCAGACGGTTGGTAATAACAAACTTCTCCAAGCTAAAGGAGGATGTTTGAACCCATCGCAAGGAAAATAAAAACCTTGAAAAAAGGTTAGACAAATGGCTAACTAGATTAAATAGTGTAGAGAAGACCTTAAATAACGTGATGGAGCTGAAAACCACAGCATGAGAACTTTGTGACACATGCATAAGCTTCAATAGCCAATTCGATCAAGTGGAAGAAAGGGTATCAGTGATTGAAGATCAAATTAATGAAATAAAGTGAGAAGACAAGGTTAGAGAAAAAAGAGTAAAAATAAGTGAACTAAGCCTCCAAGAAATATGGGACTATGTGAAAAGACCAAATCTACATTTGACTGGTGTACCTGAAAGTGATGGGGAGAATGGAACCAAGTTGGAAAACACTCTTCAGGATATTATCCAGGAGAACTTCCCCAACCTAGCAAGGCAGGCCAACATTCAAATATAGAGAACACCACAAATATACTCCTTGAGAATAGGAACCCCAAGACACATCATTGGCAGATTCACCAAGGTTGAAATGAAGTAAAAAGTGTTAAGGGCAGCCAGAGAGAAAGGTCAAGTTACCCACAAAGGGAAGCCCATCAGAATAACAGCAGATCTCTCGGCAGAAACCCAACAAACCAGAAGAGAGTGGGGGCCAATATTCAACATTCTTAAAGAAAAGAATTTTCAACCCAGAATTTCATATCCAGCCAAACTAAGCTTCATAAGTGAAGGAGAAATAAAATCCTTTACAGACAAGCAAATGCTGAGAGATTTTGTCACCTCCAGGCCTGCCTTACAAGAGGTCCTGAAGGGCGCTTTGCAGATGCTGCCGCCGAGGAAAGTCCTGTACTACTAGCCATGGTCAACCCTACTGTGTTCTTCGACATTGCCATCGACGGCGAGCCCTTGGGCCGCGTCTCCTTCGAGCTGTTTGCAGACAAGTTTCCAAAGACAGCAGAAAATTTTCATGCTCTGAGCACTGGGGAGAAAGGATTTGGTTATAAGGGTTCCTGCTTTCACAGAATTATTCCAGGGTTTATGTGTCAGGGTGGTGACTTCACATGCCATAATGGCACTGGTGGCAAGTCCATCTATGGGGAGAAATTTGAAGATGAGAACTTCATCCTAAAGCATACAGGTCCTGGCATCTTGTCCATGGCAAATGCTGGACCCAACACAAATGGTTCCCAGTTTTTCATCTGCACTCAAGTTTCCAAAGATCCGATGGGTCTGTAGATGTGTAGTGTAATTTGCTGAGAGCCTCTGTTTCTCCTGTCCATTGGTCTATCATAACCCTGTTTTGTATCAGTACCCATGCGTGTGTTTGGTTGCGTAGGCCTTGTAGTATAGTTTGAAGTCCAGGGTGGCCACCGATGCCTTCCAGCTTTGTGTCTGTTTTGCTTGGGATTGTCTTGGCCAAGTGTGGGCTCTTGTTTTGTTCCATATGAACCTTTAAAGTATTATTTTTTCCAATTCTGTGAAGAAAGCTCATTGGTAGCTTCAATGGGACTGGTCATTGAATCTATAAATTGCAGTCTGGCCAGTATGGCCATTTCTTCAACGATATTTGACCTCCTTCCTTATCCCATGAACATGGCATTATTCTTCCATGTTTGTGCTCCCTCTTTTGATTCGTTGAGCAGTGGTTTGTTCAGTTCTCCTGAAAGAATCCATTCCCACATCCCTTGTAAGTTGATTCCTAGGGGTAATTTTATTCTCTTTTGAAGGCAAATTGTGAATGCAGAGTTCATTCATGATGGTTGGCCTGTTTGTCATTAATGGTGTATTAAGGATATGCTTGTGATTTTTGCACATTGAATTTTGTATCTAGACTTTGCTGAGTTGTTTATCAGCTTTGAGATTTTGTGGGCTGAGATTGATGGGTGTTTCCTAAATAAATCAATTGTTGTCATCTGCCAAAAACCAGGGAAGCCCAATTTACTTCCTCCCATTTTCCTAATTCAATACTACCTTTATTTCTTTTCCCTTGCCCTGATTACCCTGGCCAGAACTTCACAACACTGTGTTGAATATGAAGTGGGTGGGAGGGGTGGGGGGCCATCCTTGTCTTGTGCCTGTTTTCAAAGGGAATGCTTCCAGTTTTTGCATCTTTCAGTGACGTTTCTTAATCCGGAGTTCTCATTTGAAAGTTGCACTGTGGTCTGAAAAGACAAGTTTGCTTGTGATTTCCTGTTCTTTTCAACATTCCGCTGAGCGAGTGCTTTCACCTCCAATATGTGGTCAGAGAGGAGTGAATAAGTGTGATGTGGTGCTGAGAAGAATGTATATCCTGATTGATTTGTGGTGGAGAGTTCTGTAGATAATCTATTGTCTGGCTTGTGCCACGAGCTGAGTTAACAAGGTCCTAGATAACCTGTTGTTGACCATTGTGTCTCGTTGATCGTCTAATATTACAGTGGGAGGTGTTAAATTCCACCATTATTAATTGTGTGGAGTCTAAGTCTCCTTTGAGGTCTCCTAAGACTTGCTTTATGAATCTGGTCTTCTGTAATTGGTCATAATATATTTAGATAGTTAGCCTCTTCTTAGTTGAATTGATTCCTTACCGATCCTATGTAATGGCCTTCTTTGTCTCTTTGATCCCTTTCTGCTTGGTTTAAAGTCGCTAGGATTGCCAACCCCCTGGCTTTTTTGCTTTCCCATTTGCCTGTGGGATCTTCCTGCCATCCCTTTATTTTGAGCCTATGTGCATCTTTACCACGTGAGATGGGTCCTCCTGAAAACGCGACACTAATGGATCTTGCTTCTTTAATCCAATTGCCCAGTCTGTGTCTTAATGGGGATTTAGCCCTAATTAAGGTTCATATTTGTTGATTGAATTTCATCCTATCATTAGAGTGTTAGCTGGCTGTATTTTGCCGCCATATATTAGCTGCCAGTTTGCTTTTTAGGCATGCACTTGGTCTTCAATTTGCATGGTTTCCACAGTGGCTGGTACCCTTGTTCTTTCCATGTTTATGCTTCCTTCAGGAACCTCTTTTTTTTTTTTTTTTTGGACAATTGTTATTTAGTGTTTTTTATGTTCAATATCATAAACTTAACTTGTCAATCCAGCTAGGCATGGGACGAGGAACAAGGAAAACATGGGATACCAAAGGAACTGCAGTGAGAGCACAAGATTCTAGGATACTGGAGCAAATGGGGTGGAGGGTTGCTCTCGAGCTACGAAGGAATGGTTCTGGTGGTTAAGATAAAAGCACAAGTCATAGACCTTATTCAAGTGTCCACAGTCAGCAATGAGGTGATCTTTCTTGCTGGTCCTTGGTGCCATATCCTGGACCCAAAGCACTCCATGGCCCTCCCACAAATATTCATGCCTTCTTCCTCATTGCCAAAGACCCCACCATGCTGCCATGCCAACCACATCAGTCCTTGGCAGGTGCGGATGAAAACTGGAACGCATTTGGTTGGTCCCCGCAGCAT